AGGTAACCATGGTTACCTATGCTAGTTTAGTGGTTTAAATGATTAATAGAAATTATATCACTTATTTCCTAAGCCAGTGAAGCATAATTATAATTAAATATACCTGTCGTAAGATATTAGTCATAATTATGTTTCGTATATTTAGAAAATGCATTTTATACTATAACAATAGTTGTTGTAATAAATGGCTTATATAAATAGGGTTCTGACTAATATTTTTGTTATGATCCAGCCAGCCTGCTGGGCTCTGTATTGAGCGAAATTCTTTGATGGCAATGGATACGATGAACATAGTGTGGTTGATATGGTATTATACACTCTTCATTTTCTTGAACAACCTTAAGGGACTAGATGCAGAATGAAGTATTAAAATACAATAGGCCTAATATTAATGCCTTATAACAAGTATGAGCGATTATAGACAGTAGGCCTAATATTAATGCCTTATAACAAGTATGAGCGATTATAGATAGTAGGAGGAGAGGAGCAGCAAAGTAAGACTGGAACGTAAAATATTTTTATCATGAATAAAAAAATTTGGAGAACGAGACTAGCTCTGTAAAAGAAAATCTCAAATAGGATAATAAATGCACGCATGGTAAAAACTGGCAATGAATTAAAGAGAAGATATACCAGGAAAAAAAGTCTGTAAACTCGATAAGTAAGAAGAATAGAAGAAAGTGTTTACGCTAAAAGATATCAACGATTAGCTGATTCTAAAAACATCATAAATCACGAGAAAGTGTAAAATATAAAGCGCCGAGAACTGAATCATGCAATATGACATTATCACCCTTAGAAAAATAACCGTACCTAGTTCAAAAGTTAAAAAAATAACATATATGAGTAAAAAATAAAGGAAACCAGACCTTCAAAAGCTTCTCTAGAGTTAGGGCTAGTTGACAAATCCTTCTCATTTGACAATGAAGGTGAATAGGCTTTAGATATTTTCTATCATGAGCGACCACGCGAACTTGATAACCCATCAAGGACACCACGAGTAAATAAGGAAGTAACGGTCTGAAAACCCACCTTTCGTATGTGATAATTATAATAATCTTTGTAGCCTTTATAAACTTTAGTACTAGGTGTTTCTCTTTAGTGTCACCGATGTACACATCCTGAAGTATTAAATATTCAGAAGTTACCATAACTCTTTCAACATGGGGCATTTCTCATGTTACCTATAATACCTTACTGACTTTTGATAACAAGAGATAAATCATAATGTAGCTTAACTAACTGTTGTATAAGTTAGTACAACTTTAGCTTTGTAATATTTATTTATAATGACATATCGTTCCTGAAATGTGTTTTTAGATAACCTATTTACTTGTAAGCATCTCTAACTTTAGTAACAAATTATTCTAGTATGTAATCTCCCTGAAATGTGCTATTAGGTAACGACTTTCAACTTCAAGAAAAAGTAACACTTTAAATTATCACTATTCTGACTCATAAAACGTCCAGGTACAAAGTACTGAATTTTGTTCTAAAACTATGTGTTTTCATGTGCGGTGATTACACTGTAGTTTTAAGTTTAACACACTTCCCAGAATCATCTAGTGTGAACCTTGTATTTTGACTGTTATTTGCTAAAACTCGGCTCTGTCTGTTGTCTTCTTCTAGGATGTCCTGATGGATGGTTCGAGATTGAGGAGAACTGTGTGTACGTTACATCGAAACAGAGAGCCTGGGAAAGAGCTCAAGGTGTATGTACCAATATGGCCGCTCGTCTTGCTGTGTTAGACAAAGATGTAATTCCAAGTTCCTTGACTGAGACTCTACGAGGGAAAGGTACTAATAATACTACTGCAAACTAACTAGACTTTATTTTAGACTAAGGCATCTTTGTGTCAACTGTTGACTTGCTACTGTTGCCTTATTGTATTAAATATGTTATAAAGAGCTAAGCCTTATTTCTTTATTGCTGTTTAAAGTATATTTCAAGGATTACGACTACAAGGAGGTTTCTCCATCTGATAGTTTCATAAAAATTAAATGTTCTGTGATTAGTCTTAAATATATTACTGAAACAAATAACTTGTATTTTCCTCAGTCATTGGATAAACCTCTTGTTTTTAAAGATGTAAGTTCCTTCAAAGAGGTTCTAGGATATTCTTAAAAATATTACCTTTTTTAATATGTTTGAAACCCTTTATGTATGTTCATCAGATACTAAAATAAAGCTTCTTAAATATTTCTTGTCTACGACTGGTAACTCTAACTAAACTGCACAATTAGCAGAGTGTAGTTATCAAATAATCACTCACTGGAAATATTATCACATAAGTATAAGTGTTAGCTTTTAAAATAGCATTATATATTATTCCAACAGAAGCAAAAGTACCCGTCCCCAGTGAAGGGGAAAAGTTTAAGTTAATCTGTCAATTTAAATTGTTTCATGGACTTTAAAAGGTTAATTGTGTTGTACTCTTTGTTTCACTCAGAGCCAAAGCTCTTAGCTATTTATACCGTCCACCGCGAAAAGTAATTTTTGAACATTTCAATCATGCTAAGAGCCAATCAACAATAACATACGGTAAATCTACATTTTAATTTTTTAAGTTACGTCACATTTTTAAATGTAAATGATAATGTGATTAATTCCTAACAATTTAGTTTAGAATATCCTGCTTGTGAAATAAAGTTTGGCTTCAACATTATCCAAGCCTGTTCTTCCGTCATTTCAAAAGTGAATGTTGAGGTTCGGTTTTTCAAACAGGAGACGAACACCACGGTTCGCAATATAATATATATACTGTATATATAAGAAACACTTATATGAAGTCATCGATAAGGTCAGAAAAACACGTACGTTCAAGAAGTGTTAATATACAACGATAGAAACCCAGCTTGTCACTGAAGAAAAAAGTTCCATCTTTTCAAAGCGCTCGAGTTATAGGGTTTTTATCTATTTATATATGAGATCATTGAAATTAACAAAGTCGGAAAGGCTAGAGTATTTGATCGTTTGTTGTTAAGATACACAATGGGCTAATTGTGCTGCCCATCACGAGTATCAAAATCCGGTTTTTAGCGTTATAAGACTTACCGCTGAGCCCCTGAAATAACATTCTCAACTAATACAGAACATTATCAGTGTACTCATAACTTAGATTCACTTAGTTTGTTATAAGGTAAGTTTGTGGATTACATAACTATTGTTGAACATTATCAGTATACTCATAACTTAGATTCACTTAGTTTGTTATAAGTTTGTGGATTACATAACCATTGCGTACACTGATAATGTTCAACAATAGTTATGTAATTCACAAACTTATAACAAACTAAGTGAATCTAAGTTATGAGTACACTGATAATGTTCAACAATAGTTATGTAATCCACAAACTTATTTATAATTTAGATTCACTAAGTTTGTTATAAGTTTGTGAATTACATAACTATTGTTGAACTGTTTGAATAGTTAGTTCAGATAGATCAGTTGGTTAGTCACTAGTTAAGATACTGGTTTGTATCAGTAAAAGCTTAATTTCTTTCCCTGTATGGTTGTTCTAATATTTTTTCTTGTGAAGTTTAAAATCTTTCATGAAGACGTAATGTGAAGATGTATTAGAGTATTCCTTGGCGGTGGGTGGTGTTGACTAGCTGCCTTTCAATGCTAAATTAGGGACGGTTAGCGCAGATAGCCCTCGTGTAGCTTTGCGCGAAATTCATAACAAACAAACACTATCAACGTCTAACTGTAAACTGTCACACTCAAAAGACAGCAGCATGTTGCCTCCTGGTGTCCTTTTTTTTAAACTTCATGTATTGACGTACTTACTGAATAAACACCCACGACTCTGTTGGAGATCTTTATAAAACATGAAATGTGTAGCGACAGTTTGTTTTTCTTGTAATATCATTTTTATACAAGTACGCCCCCTTGTGCTCAGCAATAGCTATGAAGGCATATAGCGCTAAGAACCTTCTATTTATAATCGCGGTGTACACACCACAGATAATCCACTGTGCAGCTTTGTGCTTAACAAAAAGTATTTACATAATTATGAAGACTTGATTGGTTGAGTAAAAATGAATATCTCAATTAAAAAAATAATATATTGGGTTAAACTATTATATATGTGTGTGTGTGTGTATGTATGTATAATGAAAAAACGCTGTCCGATCTTTTGTATAAAATTTTAGGTTCTCGACAATATTCTATAATATGTCTATACTCACTTTGTGACTAAACACTGCGATTGCTATCTATAGTACGTTTATTGTTAGAAACTGAGTTGTGAAACTTTTCTTGGTTAGGGTTAGCAACGATGTGGATAGGACTACACAGATTAGATGCTGAGAATCACTTTATTTGGGAGCTAATGGATCGCAGTAGTGTTGCTTTGAATGACAGCCTAACATTCTGGGCTCCTGGAGAACCTGGTAATGAAACTAACTGTGTATATCTGGATATCCAAGATCAGCTACAGCCAGTGTGGAAAACCAAGTCTTGTTTTCAACCCTCAAGTTTTGTGTGTATGATGGATTTGTCAGACAAGAACAAAGGTATTCCCGAAAAAAAACTTGGTAATGTATTGTGGTTATCAAAGTATTCATGCTTGGTATATGACAGGTATTGTTGGTTTTATCCTACTCTTGAACAATGTAAAGATGTTCTCACATTATTCACGCTTGGTATACCATTAATATCCATGATCTCTAAAAGTTACGTAATTAGGTATTGTTGGTGGTATCCTACTCTTGAACAAGAGAACATCTTTACAACATTATTCACGCTTGGTATAGAATAATGTGAGAACATCTTTACATTGTTGAAGAGTAGGATACCACCAACAATACCTAATTACGTAACTTTTAGAGATCATGGATATTAATGGACGCTTGATATACCATTAATATCCATGATCTCTAAAAGTTACGTAATTGGGTATTGTTAGTGGTATCCTACTCTTGAACAATGTAAAGATGTTCTCACATTATTCACGCTTGATATACCATTAATATCCATGATCTCTAAAAGTTACGTAATTAGGTATTGTTGGTGGTATCCTATTCTTGAACAATGTAAAGATGTTGTCACATTATTCACGCTTGGTATACCATTAATATCCATGATCTCTAAAATTTACGTAATTAGACGTTAAATGTGCACTACCGGCACTTGTGTTTAAATTCTTTTTAAATTATAATAAATAATTAAGAACAACGTTTTATATTTACACAATAAAACTTTATTCAAGTCGTATGGCTTCCACTTTAAAATAGAAATATCACTCTACACGTACATGTTTCGACGTGATCTACGTCATCCTCAGGAGTAACTTACAAGACCAATTTACACTTTCTCCTTGTCGCATTACTGAATTGTTACTTACATATTTCATTGGTGTAATTGAAAAAAAATATATATATATATAATATATATCTCGCCATATAACAATGTATTGACTTGCTGGTCCTTCATCTCTATTTAATACTTGTTCTTGTTTTTTATATTTCATTATTTCTAATGTTAGTCTAATATTTAATGATATAAAACTTTGAGGCTGAGCTAAAACTAAAGTTTTATCCAATAATATTGTATGTTGGGTAGTTTTTACATGTTCAGCTATAGCTGACATTTCTATTTTATTATTTCTTATGTAACTTTTGTGTTCTTCCAATCTAGATTTTAAATTTCTTTTAGTTTGACCAATATAAACACTACCACATTCACATTCTATCTTGTATATACCTGTCTTATCTGTTAATTCTATTCTGTCTTTAGCATTCCATATCATATCTTTTATCTTATTTATTGGTTTGAAGATAGGGTACAAATTCTGATATTTTTTGAATACTTTATATAATTGACTTGTTAAACCTGGAACATAAGGTAAACTTAGAGTTTCTTTTTTTGTTTTTTTCATAAGCAATTTTAATGTGGTATTTTAAACTGAATTTGCATTTTTGTTAAACTTCTCAAATGCTTTGTTTACTATATTTGGATCAAATCCTCTATCATTAGCTATATACTTGATTAATAACAATTCGTTATTTAAATCTTCCTGTCTTGAACATATTTTTATAGCTCTATAAACATATGTATAAAATGTTGATATTTTTGGGCTTTTTATATGACATGATTCTTTGTGTGGCGACATAACAACAGCAAAAGGTTTTTATATAAACTAATGTTTCTAAGTTACCTTCTTCCTTCCTAACTAATAC